ACTATTGAAAGGAAGTATCAATTGTATGCTGTCCCTTGGAGGGGAAATGTAAAGTGACTTCAGAATTGGAGGAGGTCTTCCTGATGGGAGAAGGAATCACTTCCCTTTTAGAGATGACAAGACCTAGGTCTGGAGTCCTTGCTTGAGGTCACCAAGCCAGAAGTGGGAAGAGCATGAGAGAGGCGTGAGCTCGGTGCCTTCCCAGGAGCCTTTAAAGACTTTAATGTGGTGAATCGACTGTCCAGAAGTTATCACTGGAGGACGCGACTCTACAAAAACAGGTTAGAGGAAGAGAAAGAGAGAAGAGATGTAAGCTTCACCCAGCACGCGCTCACCTGACCCGCGAGACATGCAAGGGTGTAGAGATGTGCGTGGTGTCACTGAGGGGAAGGGAGGACACCGCTGAGGTCCTGCTTCCCAGAGAGGCAGGGCTGGAGGCAGCCCGGGGAGGCCCCTGGGACAGGCTCCAGTCCTCCCCTCCTGCTTTGGAGATACCCAGTGAACAGTTGGGCCCAGGCAAAGGGGCAGAGCCTTATGGAGGTCAAACCCCAGCATCCGTCAAGCACGGGAGGCCTCCATGTGCACTTGTGCTTGGGGAGCTGCTGGCAGGCAGGGCCAGCAGGGGCCAGACGAGGGGGCACAGAGTGGTGCCTGTGGGGCTCAGGACGCAGGGGTCAGGATGAGGCTGTGGCGAGACCCCTCTGGTTGTGGAGTGCTGGTGGCGGGGCAGGAGCAGGTGGAAAACCTATAAAAAAACCCTAGCTGAAAGATATGGACTATTTCAAAGAATGTGAGACGGTAGGGAAGGAGACAATGCAGGAATGTAAAAATGTCCTGGAGGTAGGATAAATGGAGCTTGTGTGTGTACATGTGTGTGAGAGCTGGGATGGGGTGGGGAAGATGAAGGTCATGCTCTCTGAGCTCTGCTTTGTCAGAAGCAGTGTTCAAAGTGCTTTTCATCAATTTAACTCACTAAGGAAAGCTCTATTTGCTACCCCCATTTTACAGGTGAAAAAACTAAGGCAGCAGGCAGTTCAGTAACTTGTCAGAGGTCACCCAGCTGGGCAGGGCAGGGATTTGCACCTGGAAGGCTGACTCTGTGCCCTTGCAGCACCTGTGCTCACTGGGGTGCTTATGAGAGCAAAGCGGTGCTGTCTGTCTCCCTCCCCAAACCACCTGCCGTGCCCATCCTCCAGGCCTGTCCCTCCAGCCTCACCTACCTCCAGTCTTTGCCCACTCCCTGTGCCCCTTCTCTGACTGCTGATTTTGTCAGCTATCTCCTGCTTTATGAAGTATTTGCAGATAGGCCTCCCAGGTAGAATGCACTCCTGTGTACACATGCTCCCTTTTCCTGGGGGTAATGCAGCTTCTGCCACCTGCCCTTTGGAACTTTGTTCCCTGCTTACAGCCCAATAGGCTGCATGCAGTAGGCACTCACTAAGGGAGTGAAGGCATGTGCAGGGCTGCAGTGCCTGGCTTGGACGTCTGAGTGGATGGCAGTGCCTTGCCCAGAGTCTGGGACAAAGGTGAGGTCGCTGTTAGCACCCTGGGTGTCATGCTGTGGAGGATGTCCAGGTGGGTCTGCCTGTGTTGGAGGTCAGGTGCAGGGTCAGCTGCAATGCTGATTTGCATATGCAGCAGGGGCATATGCAGCTGGTGGTAGAAGCGTAGGCGTGTGTGCACATACACAGCTCACAGTAGGTGACTGCACAGAGTGAGGACAGAAACTCAGTACCAGAGTTTATATTAGTTTACTGGGGCTGCCATAACAAAGTACCACAAACTGGGTGGCTTAAACAGCAGGCATTTATCATCTCAGTTCTGGTGGTCGGAAGTCCAAGATCAATGCATTGGCAGGGTTGGTTCCTCCTGAGGCCGTGAGGGAGAACCTGTCCCAGGCCCCTCTCCTAGCCTCTGGCGGTTTGCTGGCAATCTTTGGTGTTGCTTGGCTTATAAACTTCTTCCTTCGTCTGAACGTGGTGGTGGGTGGGTGGGTGTGTGTGTGTGTGTGTGTCTGTCTGTGTGTGTGTGTTCCTCTTTATAAGGACATCAGTCATATTGGAGTAGGGTACACCCTACTCTGGTATGACCTCATCTTAACTAATGACAGCTGCAAGGATGTTATTTGCAAATACAGAAATACGATCACATTTTGAGGTACTGGGTGTTAGGACTTTGAATTTTGGGAGGGGGACACAGTTCAACCCATAGCAGAGGAAATGACAGACACTGCATGAAATAAATGTTGCTCATCAAAGATTATGCTTAGCAGCTTGATGATTTGTGTACTACCAGAACTTGGAGGGCACTTACTGACTGCTAAGGTTTCCAAACTACCTTCTGGAGCACCAAGGACAAGCCTTCCCAGAGGGGCCTTGGGAGCTCAGCCCTCACTGCCCCCTGGGAAACTCTGCTTTCCTCAGTTTCTTGTAGCTGCCAGAAATATCTGCTGCTGAAAGGACATTTGCAAAGTGCTGTCCAGATCAGTCCCACCCCAGGAGAGGCTCATAGCCCCAGATGGATTTTGAAGTTCTGTGAGCTGCCTCAAAATCACTTAACTCTAAGCACAAAGATTTTCCTGTGATTGGAGGGCTTTGAAAATCTGCATTAGATCTCTTCTTCAACAATGTCGATCTGAAGCTAATTGCTTCTAGGTGCTTTGCAGTGGCTGTCACCCTAACTCAGCTGCCCATTAAAGTTAAAACTCCTAGATTGAGACACTGAGAACTGTAGGACAGATTTTTAAACTTTTCCTATTGCTTTTTTCTTGTTGCTAGTAAGTGTGACTAATCAGATACCTAGGAACAGAGTGTAAAGGAAAAAGATTTTTTTCCCCCAAAATAAAGAGTAATAGATTCGCTTTTCAAACATTATTTTTCCTAAGAGGTTGGATTCAGTTCATCTCACCAAGAAATAGCAGGTTTCCAGCATCACGTTTTAAAAAGTTAAAAAATGTAGGGAAAAATATTGATTACTATTGCAACTTCTGCTTTTTTTTCTATTATAAGTAGGTTTATCAGATGTTAAGCATGTCTTTTGTAAAAGCAAGTGATAACCCTTGGTAGAAATTCTGAATAACTCTGTAATACTCTCCAGCGCCACCCTGCACAGGCCGGACACTGCTCAGAGGCATTGTGTTAACTCGTCATTCCTCGCCTGCTAGGATGTCCTTGTTCCCATCTTACAGCTGGGGACACTGAAGTGGAGAGAGGGGCATACGGAATGTGAGTCCACATGGCTGTGTGTCCAGGGTTCAGACAGAGTCGTCCAGCCTCCGAGTCAGTAGGCACGACTGTACCGGGCTCTGTCTCACTGAGGGGGGAACCTGCTCTGGGTCAGATTTTCCTAGCTCATGTCTAAGTCACAGCAGCCCTGCTGGAAAGGGGTGCCATCCTCTTATTACCTGTAAGGAAGCTGTAGTTTGGGGACCCTGAGTCATTTTCGGATCCTCCTGCAGCTGGGGTGTAGCGCGTGCAGCATCTGTTCCTGAGCTTGTCTGGAGCCAGTGTCCCGAGGGTCGCTCCTACAGTCTTCCATCTCCCATGTCTCCACCTGCCTGTTTTTGAGGACTCCGCCCTTTCTTTTCAATGAGAGGGGGTGGGTGGGATGGCAGTGGCACCAAAATGAGAGTTTAGCTACTTTACTTGAATTTCGGGTTTCTTTGGTTTTTATTATTGAACAAACAGCAACAAATAAAGCAATTGTGATTACTGTTCCGTCAGTGTAGGAGTGAGTGTGCATGAACACGTGTGTGCGTGTGCAAGTGTGCATAGGGAGGCTGGTTCCCCAGGCAGCCCACCTAGCCTCTGATGGTCTGGAGGGCCTGGAACACTTCTTTGGGATGGGATGGGGATGGGTTAAGGACTCTAGTTGCTGCTTCTTGGGCACTGAAGTCGCCCAGACCCAGAATTCGGTGGGGATGGATGGTTCCTGCTACGGGTGAGGGAACCAGATGTGGCTCTGGGCAGTGGAGGGTTGACCCACAGCTGCTGGGGCTGCTGGGGAGGCCTGACAGCATTGTATGCTGGGGTTCAGTTATGCAGAGTTTAGACAGGGTTTTTGGAAGGCACCTGTGCATGAGCCGGAAATGAGGGCTAGGACCTGATGTGTTTCTCTCTCCAGAGGTTCTCAGTTCAGAATCCCAGTGAGGCTTTACCAGAGTGGACTCAGAGTGCAGAATCGCAAAAGGTAGTTTGTCTTTGGAGGTGGCAGTGGAAGCCAGAAGTCTAAGTGTTTCCCACTGTACAAGAGAAAGCCTGGCTGTCCGGTCCAGGGCACTAGGGGCAGCCCTCGGGACCTCCACATGCCCCCTCTTCCCCTATTCCAGCAGGGTCCCCAGTGGCTTCTTGCTAACCCAGCGTGGTCTCTAACGCCTCTCCGTCAGCTGCACTGCTCTGTCTCGATCTGTGCAGAGATACCATCCAGTAGTTTCTGTCTAACACGTGTGTAGTAGTTGAGCATCCTTCCCTTAATTGTGAGCTGTGACTACGGAAACACCATTCTCATGATGTGTTCTGTGTTTTCCTTTCAAGAACTGGGTTTCCCTTGAGGAGAATACAGGTTCTCAGCCCTTTGATTTATCAAGATGTCGTAGAATATGCACCTGTAAGCATGAAAAATTTGTTTCAGTTTTGTGAACCCCGCTAGAGAATGACAATTTTGGTGTTCTCTGTTTCCCAGTGATGGAGAATTCCTGAATTTAGATACAAAGCCTACATGAAAATTCTACACTTCTCAGCCATGAGTGCCTGGCATTGCATGGGAGGCTGTGCCTGCTGACTGGAAATGAACACAGGTTCCTAGAGACAAATATTTACGTCTGAGTTCAGTTCTTTTTAAATTCAGCGGTTACTGGAGACATTTGAAATCCACTCCTAAACAGTCAGTTGCCTCCATGGCGACAGCCTAGGGTGTATTTTTCCACAAGCGAAGCCCACGTCTGTTTACCCTCCTCACGCTCTGTTTTTCTTTTGTAACGAGGTTTTTTGTGTGTGTGGCAGGTGGCAGGTTCAAGAAAGAGATTGTTGTTGATGGACAAAGCTATCTGCTGCTGATTAGAGATGAAGGGGGCCCCCCAGAGGCACAGGTGAGTATCACACACACGCCGGTGGTCAGCGCTTGGCCTTTTTTTTTTTTTTTTTTACTGAGGTTCTGATCCGACAAGTGATTCCGAGGGCTGACCAGTTACTCAGTAGGTTAGAGTGCAGCCTTATAACACCAAGGTGATGGGTTCAGATCCCTGTACCAGCCAGACGCCAAAAAAAAAACAGAGTAAACAAGTGGTTCTAGAATCCAGTCAGATACAGAAACCCCTTAAAAATGTTTTCTATGACGGAGATTTTTCTTACCTCTGAGAAACTAATTCTATTGTTCCTTCTGACTAAATCCAAGAGAGAAGTTGGGTCTGTGTGGCTGATTTTTTTTTTTTTTCCACTTTCTATGTTTTTAAGAAAGAAGGAAAAGCAGAAACTGCACCGATTAGTCAACTCAGTTGGAATGGCATCTGGAAATTTTTATAGTTTTGTGTTTTTTTATCTTTATCATTTTTCCTTGAGGTGGTTTGATCTCTAGAGAGATGAGATGACTTAGAAAATTTGCTGGGTAGAATTTGGAGTCCAATCTTCTCTCTGACTCAGTGGCTCCATGCCGCTCCCTGGCCATCCTGGCCCACCTCAGTCTCCACCGAAAACTACCGTGCAGCCTATTGTGAAAATCCCTTGAAAGATGGTCATTCTGGAAATAAAAGATCATGAGTGTGGAAAACCTCTTTCTTTGGTTTACTTAATCCAGTTTATTATTTTACTTCACAGTTTACTAAACACTTTAAAGAAACCAAGAGCTGGTAACAGCCAGTGACCCATTAATGCAAATTTGATATTAGACATTTCCTTGGCATCCTTTTTTGAACTTACCTTTTTGTGAAAGTGAAGCATAGGCGTGTAGGATAAAGTGAAAGATGTTGGATATAGGGATTCTTAAAAGTCTGGTATTCCATACATTGGAAGACCACGCAGCTGTTCAGAATATCATGTATTTACCATGTTGCATTGAACGTAAAACATCACGGATTGTAAGATGCTCCAATATTTCTTAAAAATGCTGGCAGTTAAACTATGAAACATAATAACAAGGTCGTTCTGATATAAAAGATGTTGAAGTGTGAGAAATCTTGTTCCTTAATGTTGATTATACAGCGCACTTGATCATATTAAGGGAAGACCTTAAAGACACGTTCACAGTGAACAAAGTTGGTTACAAAGCGATTTGAGCCATGTTCAGTGCACATCTGCTATTTTATAAGCAGGAAAAGGTTTGAGATCTGACTGGTACTATCCTAGGTTTGCAATGGCAGCAAAAGCCAGTAAATGTTTCTTAGTTGGACTTAGCATATGGGACAGTCTGCTCTGCGAAAAGGGGTTCCTTTGATGCATGTTCCCTCGGAGGCGGCTCATAAATAGAATGAAGTTGGTAAAATGTGAAAGTCATCTGGGTTCATTTTCCATTTTTCCTAGCATGTAAATGTTTTGGAGCAATCAGGGACAAGCTGTTTTTCCCCCAATTAAAGAGCACGCCTTATCAGTATGTAAAGAATCTAATAAAAAAAATGGGGAGATCTGCAGAAGTGCACACAGTAGCTGGTTTAGTGACTTCAAGAAGTGCTGTGCTTTTCACTGTGCAAAGCTGTCCAGAGAAGAGAAGTGTGAAGACTCGGGACCTTTCCCTGTGTTAAAGCAATGCAGAAGCCTGCCTTGGTTTGAATTTTACTTGTGATGAGAATGGTCTCTTTTAAAAGTAACCCCAGATCCCACACTGCTTTCCTGAAGCACAGGGAATATTCAACTCTGCCGTGAATGTTATTACAGTTGCTTTTTTAATTAGAAAAACTTATTTTGTGCTCTTGTTTAAAAGCCTGTACCTAGTGTTACCATCACCCCACACGTCGACAGACAGAATCCCAGAATTTTATCTCCAGTGGTATTTTTTCTCTAAGAAAGATCTTCTGTCTAATGTCTGTGGGTAATGCACCTTTTACATAGCTTGAAATGCAGAGAATATCAAATGTCATTTGATAAAATAACGTTTTCTTTCTTTTTAGTCAATCTAATTATTTAAGCAATTGCTTTAAGGAAAAAAAATGAAGGCCTGTGACAAACGGTCGCCTCTTGTCTGTTGAGCTGGGTGAGCTGCGCCTTGCGGGTAGTGCTGGGTGAGCGCCCGATGCGCCACCCTTCACATCCACCATCTGTGTGATCCCTGAGGGGACCCTGGTGCTCTGAGATCTCACCCGAGGTTGGACGTGAGGACGTGGTGATGGGGTACAGACCCAGGCGTCCTGCCTGTGATCCCACCAACGCAGGGGGTAGAGCTAGGACCACCGGGACATCTCTGTGGCATCTGGCTATGAGAAAGTATTGACTCAGTTTCCCTGAGGATTAATCCCTTATCTTCCTTCAGAAGTAGTTAGTCTAGAAGCTTACCCTAGTTATTAAAGAAAAGATTTCTGCTGTAGGGAATATCAAGGTGGAGGCTTTCAAAATTACGGATAGGATTTCTTTCCTTTATTATTACAGGTCACGTAATGTCATCTACCTAAAGACACAGTGGCTTCATGAGAAAAGCTGCAAGGCTCTCTGTGGCTACCAGTGTTGTTTTAGGGTAGTATAGAAACTCTGCCATGTAATTGGCATTTTTTTCTTTCAAAATTCCAACTTTCTAATGGGGAAAGCCCTGAGGGGGAAAGTATTTACTGAGTGCTGCCCACCCACTGGGTGCTGGGGCAGGGGATGGGGTTTGCGTTTCCTCTACGTGGAGGTTCCCATGGGTTCCCAGCTTGGCCTTGGGTCGAGGTCTGGTCCTGCTTCCCGTGCTGGTGTGCAGCGAGAGGCTGAGCTCTGCCATGTCTCGGAAGAGAGAGAAGAAACATACCTGCAGGCAGAGGAAAGGAAAAGGAAGTTCCGTTCTGTCGGCCCGAGCCCTCGTGCCCTCTGGAGGGACTGTCAGGGTTTTCTCAGTCTGTCCCAGGATTATTTGTTTCCAAGTCCTTTCTCATTTAATTTTATATCATTAGAACTTTGGGTTTTCAGAGTTTCATCATGTAAACGTTTCACATATAACTTGGTACACTTTTCAGTTGTACGTGGTAGTCAGAGTTTAACCCACAAAAAATTCCCCCAAGTGTATTAGGGGTGATACCTTGGCCATAGAAACTTATCTCGGAACTGCACCTTGTTTTAGAGAAAGCAAATAGGATTTTTTTGTTTTATCTTCACTTGGAAAGAGAAGGGTCTTTGGTGGCAGCCATGGTGAGGATGTGGGGGGCTGCGGGACTGCAGGAGCCTCTGTTCCCTCAGCTCCGACTTTGCAGGATGGTTATTGGTGAAAAATGAAGTTATAGGAGGGTACTTCAAAATGTTTGTGGAAAAATGGAATTAAAAGGTAATGTGAACCTCTCCATGAATGTCTTGAAGACCCTTGTACATGCCGGACAGTACAGTTATTTGCCAGAAAGATGATGTGATACTGGTTAAACTGAACGCAGGCAAAACAGTAAGATGGCAAGAGTCAGGTCATCGGGAGCCCCCCCACCAATTTTTGTTACTTTTATTAATTTCCCTGAAAGTAAGAACTTGCTCCCAGGGGCACTGTAAGAGTTCAGTGGTGGCTTGGTCTTTACCTACCAGGAGCTCTCCAGACAGTGGAGGAGGCCAGCCGTGGGGCGTGGCGCGGTGGGTGGGGAGGACGGCAGGTGGATGGGGAGGACGGCAGGTGGATGGGGAGGACGGTGGTGGGTTTCTGAGCAGCCTGCGGGAGCCTGGAGGAGAAGCCCCTCTCAGTCTGGGGGGGTCCAGTAGGGCTTCCTGGAGGCTCAGAAGGGAGATTTAGTGTGAAACAGGGGCTCCGGCTCACCCTCGGCGCCTGTCCTCAGATGCGAGAGGCTCTGGTGAGAGCAGTCGCCTTCTGCTTGCAGGGCTGCGGCTGGCTGGGTCGGGACAGAGGGTGGGCTCCCGGGAGCGGGAAGAGCATGCGGGGGAGATGGCGTGGTTTGTGTTCTCTGAGGACGGAGTGGCCTGGGTGGGAACCGGACCAGGGTCTGTTCCTGAGGGGAAGGTGGAGGTGTGGTGTGCCCAGCAGAGGGACAGTGACGATGTAATGACAGTGAGTGCGTAGTAACAAGTTGAACGTCAAGCATCGCTGGGTGGCGAGGGGTCCTGGAGCTCTCAGCGGCCTGGGCTCTGCCATCCTGGCCTCTCCCTGAGCCGCCTTCTCACTCAACTCCTGCTCTCTCTCCCCTTTTCTCCCCAGTTTGCCATGTGGGTGGACGCTGTTATATTCGTCTTCAGCTTGGAGGACGAAATAAGTTTCCAGACTGTCTACCACTACTACAGTCGGATGGCCAACTACCGGAACACGGGCGAGATTCCGCTAGTGCTGGTGGGAACCCAGGGTGAGCCGCGCGCGCTGACTCTTGAGTGACTCCAGCAGCTGAGCAGGCAGTGGACTCACGGTCTGTGTCTGTGGGATGGAGGAGATTGAAAGTGGCTCCAAGAGGGAATGCTTTCCTCCTGAAGGCTCACTTGTCACCTTGAATCCATCAAACTCAAATTAACTGTTACATAACCTCAAAGCCACACACACACACACACACACACACACACACACACACACACACACACACACACTTTTGAGTGCTTTAGAAAAAATAAGATGTTTTCTCTTGTTCTCTATATCTTAATTCTCTGTTGTATGAAACAATTTGGAAGGAACTAAAAGCTTATTTATTTTAACTTTTGGTGCTCCTTTAAAGTAACGCTGGTTTGTGTCATATAGAGAGTTCTGTGTCATTCGTTCTATTTGTCAGTATCTTACGACCTGTACGTTAATTATCAGGCACCTGAGCATAGAATCATATTGGGCACATTTTTGTTTTCTTCTAGGTCATTTAAACTTGATCTCTTAGTGAAGTGATCGTCATGTGTGGAATCAGACACAGCATCCTTGTTCTTGATCTCAGACTCGCTGTCGTAATGTGTCTACCACTGGGGTCTAACATAGAGTGTTTTAAAAAATCAGATGAAAGTTGGGCCGAGCCCGTGGCACACTCGGGAGAGTGCGGCGCCGCGGGTTCGGATCCTATATATAGGGATGGCCGGTGCGCTCACTGGCTGAGTGCGGTGCGGCTGGTCTCAAGAAAAAAAAAAAAATCAGATGAAAGTTAACTTTCGAAGCTGCTTTGTCAGAAAAAACCATCATGTCAAAAACATTGTATTATCTTTTCATTCTGTTAATATACTATTTTTGCTATTTCCTTTAGAAATAGCGTATTGGTTTGTCCTTCTGTGCCCTGATGTAAGACTTTTCCAGTGATGAAGCTAGCTCTGTGGGGCTATATGCAGTGCACTCGATGTGGGGTACGTTAGAGAGAGCTCGGGCAGAGTGAGTAAGTGGATGCTGTGGCAGGAGCCTGCGGGGATGAGCCCAGATCACGTAGGTGGATGTGTGTGTTGAGAGATAGGGTAGTGTGGAATACAGTAAAAGTGTTTTCTCAGTATGCCAGGTGTGGAACGCTAGCGTTGGGTTTTCATGGACAGCCCCTCTTTTATTTGTTTTTTAAGCGTGCGTGCCTGCAGTGGCTGGGGTCTCCCTCGTTACTGAGAGAGGTTCAGGGCAAGAGGTTCCTTATGCCTGATGCGGCCTCTAGTGGTCACCGGGAGGCAAGGACGCACTGATCAAAAGCCCGTGGCTCTGTATAAGTACAGAATTGGCATATCTGAGGCGGCGTCTGGGAAATTCTGAATAAATAATGATTTAAAATGGGTAGTTACCCAAAGGAGATTCTGTTAAAGCTGCCTTGAGGTTGAAGAGATCATGCCAAGTAAGAGGCTCTTGCTGCGGCTTTGGCCGGGGTGTTTCTGAGCAGCGTCAGCCGCAGGCTCCTGGCCAGCTGCTGCTTCTGTTCAGGAGGTTTGTATTCACGACCCAGGATGCTTTCTCGCTGCAGACTCACTGTGGTGAGTGGCAGCGAAGTGCCCAGTCTGGGCTGGAAGGGTCAGATGGATCAGTTCTCTCTCTACCCACCAGTGTTCCTGTTAGTAGAGAGTAGAGTGACGGGTCCGAGTCCTGGGCTCTGGGCCTCACACACCTGGGTGTGACTGGCTGCCAGCTGTGTGGCCCTGACTGCCCCCTCTTAGGGCTCTGGGAGGTTCAAACAGGAATTCAGGGAAAGTATTCAGTGCACCCACGGGCACATGGTACATGTCTGACAGCAGTGGCTTTCGTCCCTCGTATTTCTACGTATAACCAGTTTCACTGAGGTCCCGCTTGGGACCCAGAAGCACATCTTTCTCTGCCCCTGTGCCTGGAGGCAAGCGTGGCCCTGAGTCTCCCGCCTCAGCTGAGGGTGCATCCTTGCCTCCTGCTGGGTTGTCCGTGTGTGCATAGAGGAGGCTGGGCATGGTGCCTTATATTCTAGGGAAACCCCAGTGAACTTGAACTCCCTGAGTTCAAGGACCCCACCTGCTTTTGTTCCCTAATACTGTAACTGTCTGTTGACTGAGCGCACTGAGCCCGAAAGGCCCCGGGAGCACCCCAGTCAGGCTGCCCAGTGCCCACAGCTGTCCCCGCACTCACTGAGACGGCTCCCGCTCCAGCTCTGGTCCTTGTGGCCTCACTGTGCGCCAGACAGACAGGAATGGAATGCCTCAGTTAGGGACGTTCCTCCCCTGAGGGAGCCTTAGGCAGCCTGGCGGGTGTATGGAGCCTGCTTCTGGGAGGCTGGAGTGAGTGCGGGCTTCTGGGGTCCCACATTTAGGCACTGGTTAACGGTGTGGGACTTGCCTTCAGTGAAGCCTGCACCTTGTCTGTGAAGCTTTTGTGCTGGCTCCTTGGGAGGCCGGAGACCGCACGCAGGTCAGGTTGGAGATGAGGGGACCTGAAGTCTCCCTTCGTGCTGGGTGAGGTGGGTGGCCTTAGAGGTCAGAGGTTATGGGAGGGGAAAGAACTGGAGAAGAGTGAAGTTCATTCCTTAAGGGCACCTGGCATGGTGAGGCCTCAGCCCCAGGTGGGAGCAGCTCTGCAGAATGTGCCTCTCTCTCTGTTGCGGAGCAAGATGTGACGGAAGTCATTCACGTGTTTAGGCAGGTTCTGTTTTAGAGTTACGAGTTAAATTGATTTGAGGGAGGAGAAGCAGGAGCTCTGAAGAGCTGCAGAGTTAAAAGTGGAATAAAAAACTGACCAGCAGAGCGGAAGTGTAGTGCTCACGGCAGGAAGCCTGCTTCTGCAGTGACAAGGGCGCCAGCAGTGACGACGGCAGGAGCCGCGCCTCTGAAGATGCGCTGGGACAGGACGGAGCAGGCGTTTCCGAGGACAGAGGCGCTGCCGAGCCGTTGGGGGCCCCGGGTCAGGATCAGGTTTAAGCTGGAGGGATGCTTTGTGGCCCATGTTTTTCAAATTATACTAAAGCATTGAAAAGTTTGGATTTCTAAATTTTTTCCTACTATTTTCTTAAAAAAAAAAAGGTTTGCACTTTTGACAAATACTTTTTTCTTAAATGCTGTGAAGTGCAAGTCAGATTTACTGTCCGTAAGACAGGACGAGGTGTCCTCCAGCAGGGCGTGCTCTGCAATGTCCATCGAGGCTTTTACAGTCACTTCACCTTAGGGAGACTAAGAAATATCAGTTCAAACTGTTCCATAGGGATAAAAAATAAAACAGAAGAAAGAGGGGAAAAGTGAGTAAATTGTTTTCTCAGGATACCACTTTTTCTTACATTTCAAAAAGATGGAGTGTCAGATGCCCCTCCCACACAAACATAAACAAGACGCAAAGCATTGTCACTCTCTTGTATACCCCACGCTGCCGTGCCTTTGACTAGTAGAGAAATCCTCCAGGTGGGTCTTTGTTGATTTTTCTTCAGCGTACGAGCCTCCAAGCCCCCAAGGAAACTTGGGCTGGGGAGAAGTGTCTGCAGGGCGCTGTATCTCACCCCTTGACACAGCCGCTGTTGACATTCTGGCCTTTCTCTGTGCATGTGCCAGGCTTGGCTGCTGCTCTGTCATGCAGCAGTGAGGACGTGAAGCGGGGTTGTGGTGGACAAGCTGGAAAAAGGCTCCGTTTCTTTTTTAGGAGATTGGTGGCTGGTCCACATCTCTGTTTTGCTGCTCAAACATCCCCGTCTGTACACAGATGCCACGGGGGGGTGGGGTGTGCCCCCCACATCCAAGTCACCTGTGACCCCAAGTGGTTCTGTTAAAACCTCAGGTGGCTTGAAGCCACTCGTGCTTACAGCCCCTGGAGCCTGAAAGCCAAAAACTTAAAATTGGCCTCAAAGGCCCTGCTCCCCTCTCCCCACCCTCACCCCTGCTTGTCCTACCCTCGCACCCCATCTCCCTTAGACACACCACGTCCTCTCCCCAGGAGTCCCGGCCGCTCCCCACCTCTGCAGGGAGGCCTCCTCCCTGATGACTTCATCTAAAACCCCAGGGTCACCCAAACCCCCTATCCTCCTTCCCAGCCTCGCTTACCACGTACGGACATCTTACATCCATAGTCGTTGCTCAGATTCATCTCAGTTGCCTTCCGCCTCCTTCCCTGGTCAACTAGAAGGTCTGTTCCACGAGAACGCAGATGTATGTGTCTTTCGTTCACTGCCGTATCCTTGTGCCCAGAACAAGACCAGACACCCAGTGGGGCTCAGCGAACATTTATTGAGCAAGTGAATGGACAAATGGCCACCCCTGGAAGGATAAGGACAGTGTGTGGGATGCATCTAGCAGGGTGCTTCGTGCGCAGATGGTGACCTGCAAATAGTGATGATGGTTTCTTTTTATATTTTCCCTTTAAAAATATTTTCCTCTAGAGCCATATTTAACTCCTACTCCTTCCTTTTCTGGTCTTTCTGGATGTGCTTTTATTTCAGTTTTAGAAGTTCTCTTCTAAAACAGATTTCTGCTAATGAATGACTATTCTGGTGTTTGGGCTATTATTTGGGGATTAAACTATGTTTTAAAAACTCCAGATTTTCTCGAGAATGAAGTCTGTACCTAGTAAGGTTCAGGTTTTGAGCTACTTGGGGACCTGAAGCTGTGGGAAGTGAGTAGAGCTGCTTGTGGTCACCGTGTTGTCACTTTCTGGTCTTCTGTTCCAGATGCCATCAGTTCCACCAACCCGCGGGTCATCGACGACGCCAGGGCGCGGAAGCTGTCCAGTGACCTCAAGCGGTGCACGTACTACGAGACGTGCGCCACCTACGGGCTCAACGTGGAGCGCGTCTTCCAGGACGGTGAGTGCTCCTGGCCGGGACTGCACTGTAACTCTGTGACACAGGAGCACGTCGGGAAGACTGTCCTGCCTGCGGGTCTTTCCTCGTCCATGCGGGTGACAAGTGTATCATTTGATGTGTGGGTACCAATCCCTAGTATTGACAGCTGAGCACTTGGTCTGAGAGGTGTTTCTCAATTCCATTCCCTTTACAATGATGTGTTTAGAAGAGACATTTACTTCAGAACAACCCTGTCATGGATCCTGTGGGTCACAGTATGTGACCTTTTTGGGGACAGGGTGAAAAATTTCTTGAGCTATTGCTCACTCTATGCTCTATGGAACTCGCGTGAGTGCTGTTTCTGCGTCGTAGTTCCTCATTCCAGATCCAGCCCTTTCTTTAAGAAAGGTTTAAATACTGGATGTGAGGGTTTGAGTAGAGGAAACCGAAAGGAGAGACAGAGTCGAGTCTGGACCAGAAACAAATCTCACGGTAGGACTCACCGCTGAGAGCGAGGACCAGCATTAGAACTGCTTTGTGGTGTTGCCTGCGTGATCGCTCACCCACCTGCAGGAGCAGCCCTCAGTCAGACAGGAAGCTCCCCTAGAGGAGTTAAGGTTCTGCAAGCGGGATAGACATTCACATGAATGCTTACAGTGCCAGGTGTCGAGGTGAGAGAGGGTCTGATGGTGTGCGGGGGCTGGGAGAGGGGGCTTGGTCTCAATCTGGGGTCAGGAAGGTCTTGGGTAAAGCAATTCTTTCAGAGTTGGAGCCTGGCAGTAGGACGCCCCCAGCAGAGGGTCCCATTTCTGAGGGGAGTCACGGGAAGTCAGTCCTGGGTCCCTCTCCCCTTCTGGTTTAAATCCACGTGTGGCAGAGTTGTCCCCGCATTCCCTGGCACTGGTGCTGGGGGGGGGGTCGTCGGGAGCGGAGTGGGACACCCAGCTCGGGCTCCTCCGAGGCTGCCTGAGCTGCTCAGAGGTGATGAAGAAACATCGTAATCCTGACGAAGACAGTGCTTGCAGGACTGCTCCTGGTACCGCCCCCAAACCGGGCAGCCTGTACTTTTCTCTTAAGTGGCTAAATTAGTTTTCAGATGAAACGTGGTAGGAATTCACCCTTTATTTTACTAAATTTCAAAGATTGTGTCAATTTTCAAACTTTATATTTTCCTCCTTTTCCTTTAATGTTCAGATTCTTTTCTTCTGAGCTTTCCATCTCCTTTTCCCTTCCTCACGGATGATTACCTCTTTTTTAGCACATTTATCCTATTTTGTTCTTCACACCTTGCATTTTTTCCAGTGTCACCTTTTCCAGTGTCAATTCCAAAAAAGCTCAGGCCTCCCTGGGAAGCAGCACTGAGTCCCTGGGTCGTGCAGCCCCTTCCTGCTCCAGGCGCGCTGATCCTGGGCCTCGTACTGGCTGTGTCGGGAGCAGGTCCTGTGGGGCGCAGACCCACATTTCAGACCTGGGCAGGCTCATGCCAGGCTGGGGTTTGCAGCCCTGTGGATGTTAGTGAGACTGAAGAAGTGTGCAGGAAGCTCGCAGAGTCCTTCCGAGGGGTGGGCTCTAGCAGCATGTGGCTCCTGTTTGCCATCGCGCGGCCGAGACCCCAGGGAAAGCTACAGTGAAGTACTGCAGGGGCAGCTCCCTGCACCAGGGCCCATGGGCCGACCTGGCCAGCTGCCTGTTTCTGCAAACAGACTATTCTTGAGGCACAGCCGTGCCCACCTGTGTATGGACCACTCTCTACCTGTAACAGCAGAGTCAAGTAGTTGCAGCAGAAACCGTGGCCCACAAAGCTAAAAACGTTTACTTTCTGGCCCTTTATGGAGTTTGCAGGGTCACTGCTGCTCACCAGTTTGCTTTGTTTAGATTGCTCCTTTGGCTTTCTGGCTTCCTTTGTGCCCCAGGGCCTATTTTTACTTATTTACTTTTTATATCTTAGCACTGTAGAAAGAGAAAATAAAGAGTATGTAATTTCTGTGTTATGTTTAGCTTCTTCATAAAGGAAGAAAACAAGCCAGGTGCTTCCACCTGACCTTCCATTGTCACGTTCCTAGGGGACTGGTTACCTAGGTTGGCTTGTTTATGTCTGGGCAGCTGGTCAGTACATGGATCGAACCCTGGACCTTGGTGTTATCAGCACTGCACTGGTCATTTGTTCTGTCTGGGTGACAGAAGCTCTTCTGGCCAGCATGTGTCTGTCAGGGAACTGAAGTTTCCAGGAAGGTTTTAAGGACACTAGTGTTGCTGATGGTGTTTTTTAATCTAGATGTTCAAAGGTAACGTAAAATAGTTACAACTCAGCAGCAACCGTAGATTCTTCCCTGAGAAGATTGGGCGGTGCTGGAGGTGGTAAAAAGCCACCTGTGTGTGTTGGTAGCAAAAGGGCCCCTTTGAGCATTACGTATCACCTCGGGGGGAGGAGAGAGGGCTACCCCCAAGGTCCTCATAATGGCTCTTTGGGGACTGCAGTTCGACTTTGGAGATTGTCAACTTCAGTCTCTTTTCAGACGCTTTGGAATTTCTCACCTGACGTTGAGTGTCCGTGTTGGCAGGAGACAGGGCTGTACCGTGGACGTGGAGGAACAGTGGTTTGTGTCACAGGCTCTAGTGAGCCTACGGGTGAGACAGAATCCGTTTTTGTTTGAGTTGACATTTTATGGGGTAGAGCCAGCGGATCCTAAGTTTAATGGGGCATATTTTATGATTTCTAAATTGTGGTATCTTCCAAGTTTCTGACTGGTATGTGCTATTTTGAGCATCCTTGATACCTAAAGGAGGGATTTCCCTTCATACAGAATGCGGACTGGAGCCAGATGTGGTTCACAGACTTGTCTTTGTTCCCTCCTCTGAGCTACTTGGTGCCCTTTGTCCACTCTCTGCCTCCCTCTGTCTGTACTAGAACGAGCTCAACTGTGAACGGTGCTGTTTTTTATGTGGATCGTTGTTATGTGTCCCAGCAGCAGTTGCTTTGTGTACGGAATTCAGTATTCTTGCACGTATGTTCTCAACGTTCCAGTCACTTGTGAAGTCCCCAGTCAGAGCATCCTATTATATATACTCTGTGTCCTATGCTAAGGCTATTCCTCACTGAAGCTTTAGCTTCTTACCTTCTTAAGTGTGTTTTCGTAGGACAGTAGGAAAACCTATATGCAAAGATTTGCTCTGACAGTAGTTAGACCAGGTGAAGATCCATGAAAAAAAAGAAAGGTAAATTACAACTTATCCTGTGTCCACTTAATATTCCCCAAGGCCAGTTTAGTGATTTCATGTAGGAGAGGTTTCATCCTAGGATAGATCTATGCTATTAATGTCAACAGAAACAATTGGGTTCTGGGTACATGCAGGTGGGACAGGTGGGTGATAGCATTAGAAGGGTCCTGTAGGCAATTGCTGGCACGGCCGTGGCCTTAACACTTGTTAGGGCTTCCTCTAACCACATGCTCCTGTACGTCATCCTGGTGGGTGGACACTCATCGGGCAGAGTAGTCCCTGTTCTAGGCATATCTGTGCAAATGCTTCACCACCATCACCCTGGCAGTGAGTCACTATGAATTCTGGAAAGCACTTGCATAGAAGTTAACCCCATTTGGTTGTCACCCCTCCCAGTGACAGCTCACCTGGGCATATACGAGGGTTCTTTAAAAAGTTCACAGAAGGATTCATATTATCTTTTAATTCTACTTTTCCACAAACTTTCTGAAGTCCCCACATATAACCCACACCAAGAGCCTGAGCTGGGAGAGGTCGTGTGATTTTCCGAAGGTTCCCCGGTGGGTCCAGGACCCCAGTTTGCTTTTTATCCTTTGCTTCCAAAGACTGGGATCCTGGAGTACAAAGAATCCATGTCACATTAAGCGTCTGCAGCTGCTTGGTCCTCATTACAGTGGTGTCCAGGACAAGGGTAGCTGTATTAATGAGCCTGCGTGTGCAAGCTAATTGCATGCGCTCGAGCATCGTTAACTGTGAGCCGTCTTCTGGGATTCTCCTTCTGAGCTCTGCAGCATCTTGTACCAGTTTGTTTTGCTGACACCACAGTCTTTTGATTGTGCTGTTAAAGGATATGCCAATTAGGCCTGCTCCACTCTTTCCTGGAACCAACCTGCTTTTCGTTGTTGGGGTTGCCTGTTTTATTATTTGTCTTTGTTGCTGTTATTTTCTCCTTCATTTATTGTGTTAGGGATTAGATTGAAACTAATGTGTGTGTGTGTGTGTGTATCTTCTTTTTTCTTTTGGCAAAGGAATATTTTCAAAAATAAGATCTTTTCACTTTTGAAAGCAAGCCACATATATGTATGCATTTGTTATTGAATGCATATTGAAAAGGAAAACTAGTGTGTCATTAAGTGCCTGTTAATACATACTTTTTTTCATTTGTAATAATGACTAATAATCATTTAAGGGCCTATGCTATAGGATAGTAGATCTTATTCAGCCCATTTTACAGCTGGGAGCCACACTGCCTGAGATGTTTGCTTCCCAAAGTCACGTGACACCCCTGGCATTGGCAGAAGCCGGCATTTCCAGTGTCCACCAGGGTTTTCACTGTCCACCTGTACACAGTGCTGTGTGCTTGTCTGTCCATCACTCCTCCCTGCACACATTGTCACCTCCCTCTCTCTATTGAAAAGTTGTATTTCTGAGACTTCCTGGGACAAGTGGGTGATTTGTATCAGGACAAGCCGAAAAAGGTTCAACTGCTTAAATCGTACTTTGTTAAAGGGGTTTCATAATTTAAAACTTCCTTCTGTGAACAAAGGCAACATGGAAAAGTTGCCTCTGTAAGGCTCGAGTAGATGTGGCGATGTTAAAGTGAGAGAGAAAAGAAGGAAACACTGCTACCGTTTCTCTGAAGCTGATTGGTCAAGTCTCGTAAAGTGGTCTTGACCCTGGTCTGGCAGCCGTGCTGCTGCTGTCACTAACCACAAGGGTCGCTGGCTGTCACTGCCTGGTAGCTTCTAATATAGTATAATACAATGGAAATTGGAATCTGCAGGTTGCCTCCCAAAGAGCCA